TAACGAACAGAAATCCTCGCAGAAATCAGTCTCAAAGTAATAAATATTTGCCCGAAAAATAGAAATCAAACCTAGAATTGTTATTTGTTGAGAATAAAGATCTATTCTAAAAGACCACACGAGTCAGAACACGAGTGAACACGAGACAACACGAGTTAACACGAGTCAGAACACGAGTCAGAACACGAGTGAACACGAGTCAAAAATTTGTGAACACGAGTGAACACGAGTCAAAAACTGACGAACACGAGTGAACACGAGTCAAAAACTGACGAACACGAGTGAACATATATATATAATTAATTAATAAAAATTGTTTTAATAATTAATATATTATTAATTATTATTATGTATATAATTATAATTAATTATAATATTTTAATGATAATATATAATTATAACACATATATATATATATATATATATATATATATATATATATATATATATATATATATATATATATATATATATATATCATTACAATTAATTATAATATTTTAATGATAATATAATTATAATAATAATAATAACATTTATAATAATTATAAGTATTATTATTATTATTACTAAAATTGAATAAAGTTTTCGTTACAATAATTATTATTATTACTAATCCAACATCCTGTGGGCCGCCAAGAATCCTGACTATCCCGCGTGCAATTACACAGTACAGACCGGCCTTCATCACGGGCTTAAAACTGTAAGGAGCCTCTTTAAGAATGCGTTTTTGACTCGTGTTCACAGTCATCACGGGCTTAAAACTGTAAGGAGCCTCTTTAAGAATGCTCTTTTTGACTCGTGTTCACAGATTTTTGACTCGTATTCACTCGTTTCGTCATTATTGACTCGTGTTCACTCGTGTTCGTCATTATTGACTCGTGTTCACTCGTGTTCGTCATTTTTGACTCGTGTTCACTGTTCGCCAGTTTTTGACTCGTGTTCACTCGTGTTCGTCAGTTTTTGACTCGTGTTCACTCGTGTTCGTCATTTTTGACTCGTGTTCACTCGTGTTCGTCTCGTGTTCACTCGTGTTCTGACTCGTGTTCACTCGTGTTGTCTCGTGTTCACTCGTGTTCTGACTCGTGTTCACTCGTGTTCTGACTCGTGTTCACTCGTGTTCACTCGTGTTTGCTCGTGTTCTGACTCGTGTTCACTCGTGTTTTGGCTCGTGTTCTGACTCGTGTTCACTCGTGTTTTGACTCGTGGTCTTTTAGAATAGATCGAGAATAAATGCCCCATCTTTGTTTGTTGTTAAAAACATGTCAATCAAAATGTTAAAGTATTAAACAGCAGTTGATTGGCTTCCTTGTTTTTACCGACTTAGCTACTTTTGAAGTGCAAAAGGATAATTTTCAATTCTCGTTCGAAGTTGGCATTTAGCACCACTTTAATAGTTATACAGACATTTCTTTAATATTGATCCTTTCTCACACGAAATATTTTATAAGCGACGATGGACTGGTCAAATCGATCCCTGCAACCATGCTGTTTTGCAACATTTTTTCCCCACCAAATAATGGGGCAGGATATTTTTTCCCCAGTTTGTTAGTGCAGGTATTTTTTTTATTGTTCAGAATAGCCTTGCAGGAATTTTTTTTCAAAATCACCCCCGCCCCCTCAAAAGTTAAATGGTCGGCCCCTTACTGAGTTTCGAATATCGGGTTAAAATAAACTGCGATCACCGTACGAGAAGCATTTTGACGGATGCGATTTATCGAAAACACAATAATAATAATAATAATAACAATAATGACTTTATTTAAACTGAAGAAAAAAGACAGACCAGCATATTTACAAGAAATAGCTGGTATTCACCGGTGACCAGCATCGTAAAGGATTTCTATGGTAAAAAAATACAAATTACTATTTTACACTACATTACTATTTTACACTACACATATGTTTTTTTTTGTCCATATTTAATAAATACTTAAATATTTTAGTTTTAAAGTTTGATAAAGGCTTATTATAATCCCTCGCACAAAATTGAAGTTCTTGTAGACGCAAGTCCAGTTGGTCTCGGTGCCATACTCGTCCAATATCCTACCACTAGAGATCACAGTGCTTCGCCACGTATTGTCAGTTATGCCAGTCGGGTATTAACTCCTGTGGAGATTCGCTATTCACAAATTGAAGCTCTGGCTATTGTCTGGTCATGTCATAAATGTCATCTATATTTATATGGTACCCAATTCTCTGTTATTACTGATCACAAGCTACTATAGAACGTCTTTTCAACGATCTACAAAGCAAACCACCTGCTCGTATTGAATGATGGTCATTAAAGGTACAACCATATCATTTCAATGTTCAGTATCAACCAGGTAATTCTGACAATCCAGCCGACTTTATGTCCAGCCATCCTTTGCCATCATCACCTACCAGCCACGAGGAGAGATGCGCTGAAGAATATGTTAATTTCGTTTCAATGCATGCTGTTCCCAAGACCCTTACACTCGAAGAAATCAAAGAAGCCACAAAAGCCGATATCACACTTCAAGCTGCCATTCAAGCAGTTCAAACCAATGTAGTCATACCAAGTAAACTAGTCAAAACCATGTGATAGACCTCGCACACGAAGGCTATCAAGGCATATCACGGACAAAACAACTCTTACGTGAGAAGGTCTGGCTTCCGACTATTGATAAACAAGTGGAAGAAAAGGTTAGCTGCTGCTTAGCTTGCCAAGTTACAACAAATAAAAGCAACATTGAACCTTTATGTATGCCTGTGGCTAGCAAGAATCCATGAGAAAGTGTATCAATTGACTTTTGCGGCCCGTTTCCCAGTGGTGAGTACTTACTTGTATTGACGATTGATGACTACTCACGATATCCCGAAGTAGACATTATTAGAACAGTAGCCCATACAACTGTTATTCCCTGTCTTGACCAAATCTTTGCTACTCACGGAATTCCCAGAACGGTTAAATCGGACAATGGCGCCCCATTTAATAGTACAGAATTCAAACAGTTTGCTAATTATCTTGGTTTCCAACATCAGCGAATAACGCCCTATTGGCCCCAGGCCATAGGCGTCGAAAGATCGATAAGTGGGGGGAGGGACCATATTCATATATTCGTGTTCTGCATTATTAATTTCTTTTGAAATCGATTGTTTTTAAGGTCTGTGAACACGAATATATGAATATGGTCCCCCACTTATCGATCTTTCGACGCCTATGCCCTAGGCAAACGGAAAAGCTGAACGATTCATGAGAACGTTAAAGAAAACAGCTAGAACAGCCAAAGTTGAAGGCAGGTCTTGGAAGCAAAACTTGTTTACGTTCCTCAGAAACTACCGAGCTACGCCCCATAGTGTAACCCACCAGGCTCCTGCAACCTTGCCATTCAATCGTGCCATAAATGTCAAGTTACCTCAATCACAACCTGTAGCACCAGCTAACCCGAACCAACAACAAGCATTTGATGCATCATGTAAGTCAAGAAAAAAAAAGAACTACTTTGACAAACGAAACAAAGCCAAGCACTTGCACTCCTAAACACTGTAGTGCTTACAAAAATGTTGCTAAATGGGCATATTGTAAACACTGGACTGGACTTTGGACTGGACTTTGGACTTTCGATTTTGAAGTTATATTATTTTTTTAGATTTTCGTATAATTATATTAAAATCTAAACAGAGAACGAAAATTTGCTGCTGAAAAGCGTGCTACACTGCATGCACATGCATGGTATAATATACAAGGTAAAAAATACTCAGTATCAGTTATATAGGTATACCAGCGGGTAGGGATAAAACCCTGAAAACGGAAACTGAAAGCGGAAACTGAAATGGGGATAAAACGCTGAATTGGGAGTAAAACGCTGAAATGGGGATAAAATGCTGAAATGGGGATAAAACGCTGAAATGG